TCCTTAACTTAAGAGTCCGAGGTAACTGAAAATGTACATTTTTTTGTACCTTTAATCAACGTTTTTCAGAAAAGTCCTCACAGAAGTGATTTCTCTAATGGGCATGAAAGGTGTTGAGTCAAAAAACAAAAGTTTAATAAAAATTCACAAATCTGTGGAAAAATGCATGTTTCTTCACTTTGATTATTTTGACCAGAGCCTGATTCCACCACGCTGCCTCATATATCTCCGATGGTTGAGCCTGAGTTACCCCCCTGACTCTTCTTGTCTTGTTTACAATATTATTCCAGAGATATCTCATTTCGATTGCTTGTGTTTTGCTTTCTTGAGACTTCACATAAGACTGTGATAGGTTCGAGTTTATACAAAAATAAGCTGACTAGTTTGGTCTTAGTTTCAGTTTGTATGACTGTGTGGATGTGTCAGTAGTGGTACTAGCGTGTCGTTGACATTATTTCTTTGCTGTCGCTAGCATCTACTTAAGTAAGAATTTTAAAATACCCCCCCCCCCCCAACAAATTCACACCCTCCAAAGCTCTATCAAAGACGCTTCTTTCAGCACCACCACATTGCAGTTTAATTCTTTGGTCAAAGCTTACAATTTTCTTGCTATTCATAACTCCTGATAGGGTCATCGCAACAAAAACTGGCTGGGGTTTTTTTTTGGGGGGGAGGGTGGGGTTCTCTGACGTAAAAAGATCCCAAACAGTCTTAAGTTGATTACTTGCGACTCTAACGATTTGCTTGTGAATTCTCTCCTCGACCTTTTCTGTTTATTTTTCCCTCATAAGAGAAGACGCTCCCAAGATAATTAGATTCATCGCCTAGCATTTTGATTACCACTGATAATGACGGCAAGGTTGGGTTGGTGTTCTGCTCATTTTTGAACTTCTGTCTTTGCTATTGCTGGCATTTGGGTTCTTTTTGTAAAAGCCTTGTATAGGCTGATAACAGCAACAACAATAACAAACAACAACAACAACAACAACAACAACAACAACAACAACAACAACAACAACAACCCTACCCCCACCACCACTACCAACACCAAAAACAACAACGAGGAAAAGAACCAGAACAACAAGAACAACAAGAAGAAAAAGAAGAAGAACAACAACAGCAACAACAACAGCAACAGCAGCAATAACAACGACAATAAAACAAACCCCCCAACAACATTAACTTTAGCCCTCCTTATTTTCCTACCCATGCCCCGTAAACTCGTGTTTCCTTCACTGCCTTCCGCTTTGCGTGTCAATGTTCGGAGAAAATGTTTTTGACTTTTCAAAGAAGGAACAAAACTAGAGGGCATAACATTAATAACAATGACGTTTCCGGGTGCCATTTTCCTTGTAAACAACTTGACATTTTGGTGATATCTAGCTCTGTCTCAGGCTAAAACAGCTCCTGGACATGGATGGCTGGTGCCTCTATAAATAAATCATTGATGGTCAGCTCTGTTACACTGTGACTACAAATGTCTTATGGAAGTACAAAAAACGAACAAACACAACACAAAACATCCAGTTTAGTTCCGTTGAGCGGATACACTTGGATGCGTGTCTATTGTCTATTGTCTATTGTCTATTATTTGCTTAGCCTGTGTTCTACTAATACTGTTCTGTACGTATAAGGTACAATCTATTAAGAAGAAGAAAAAGAATCAAACATTCACATTCATCCAAAATACATGATGTTATGATAACATTCCCACTTCCCACTAGCTGCAAGAGTTAGACCTATGTAGTGCGCAAAGAAATTACCAAACACCATTCTTGGTCAATGAATTCGATTACTTCTCTCTGTCAACTATTTTTTCCCCTTGACGTACAGACGAGAGCCACAATAGGCCCAGAGGGACAGTGTCAATCTGGAATAAGGAAGGGACTAGAAAACTGGGAAAAGGGGGTTAAAAAAAAGGATGAGGGGAGAAGAGGAAGAGAGCGAATTTCCCAGAAATTACCTCCCATTTCTCATGTAAGAAAACCTTCTAATGACCGACTCGGCACAGTAACAAGAGATAGCAACAGTTTTCCGCCCAACTAATTCATGTGATTTTAAAATATTTATTTGTTCTAGCATACATTTCAAATATTGATGTTTCTTGATAAATTCTAATCTCGTCCATACTTGTAAGGATGACTCATAACAAGAGGACACCCTGTACTGTACTGAACCCTTCTAGGAATTTCGGTTTGCTGTTTCCATTGCATATATAGAAACTGGTTCCTTTGATTTATGAACCTGTTTAAGTGTCATTGTAAAACAGATTTTACCTTTTAAGATGAAACAAATGCAGCGGTGTCTATTTAGTAATCCATTACTTCTATCTTTACAAATCCGTAACTTACCTGAAACACTTTCCAACCACCACCACCATATATGAGGCAGCGTGGTGGAATCAGGCTCTCGTCAAAATAATCAAAGTGAAGAAACTTGCATTTTTCAACAGGTTTGTGAATTTTCATCAATTTTTTTTTTTGGCTCAACACCTTTCATGTCCATTTCTGTGTGGATTTTTCTGTAAAAAGTTGATTAAAGGCACAAAAAATGCAAATTTTCAGTTACCACGGACTCTTAAGCTAAGGAAATAACTAATATTTGGCTGCCATTTTCTCACTAATCTTACCTCTGAAAACGGGTGACCCCCACCCCCTTCATCTGCAAATATCTCGCCTTGTGTTCAAGATAAATAGGTATTGTTTTCATCCAAATAAAGACAAATGACCAAGCTTTACGATGATACCAATAACTCTACATGCTCAAAAATTGACGAGAGCCTGATTCCACCACGCTGCCTCACAAATTATCTCAACATAAGACACTCTTTTTCGCAGTGGAATGAAGGCGTGCTTAAAAAAAGAGAGTTTCAACAATTCTTTTTAAGTTGTTGTTGTTTAAAGATTTATTTTTATATCCTCATTTTGGGGAAATGAAATAGAGTTGAAAAATTTCGATTGTTTCAATATGGGAGAAAACATGGAAAGGGGGAAGGGGGGG